CCTGATGGTTATTGCTGTTGTAGAGATTATAAAGCAACAGGAGAAAGTAGGATGAACAGACTGTTAAACTCGCCACATGTGCCTTAATGATCAACTCACCATATGTTATTTAGTAGCAGGATATTCTTTTTAAAACCATCCAATCACACAGAATGAGTTCACAACGGCCGCTGAAACCTGGAATGGCCAAAATCGGAGGACGTTCTGGAACGTTCCAGCACTCATGCTAATTCAGAATGGCAGGAGAGTGTAGAGGGGACATCTGTTGGGTTTAATAAGGTCATGCTGAGCTCTCTACAGCTGCATCTGAGGACCCTTGCCCTCAGCAAATGGATACGCTGCTGCTTCAGATACGCAGCTATGCAATTTACAGCATGAAGGTTGTATGTGGTCCTCTGACGGTCGATTATTGAGTGGGCTTACTCAACAATTTCAGGTTTTAAACATACCTTTTGAAACTTTATTATCATTTAATAGTTCCCAAAGAAAATGTGAGTACTGTTATGCAGCTGCTGCTCTGGGTGGTTGCATACAAGAGCCTCTCCTAAAGTTTTATTCTTGTCTTTTCACCAGAAGAACTTTTTCTTCTTGTTACACAAATCTTATCACCTAAAAAAGTCTAATCACCTACTATAGTAAAGCAATAGCACACCTCTTGACAATCATTCATGCGTTTAGAACAATTGGTGGAGGATGCTTTTTATTTTTCATATACGTTTCATACTTTTTACAAGTATTAAACTCTAGGATAACCATAACGATATCTATATTAGCATCCACATCAGCGCAAGATTTCATTCTGTTTATCATAAGCGCGTGCTGCAGTGCTCGAGCTCTATAAAGCAGGATGGCTTCTGATTGGCTGTCAATGTTTTTATCGTTCATCCAACCCGATCTCACAACCAATTCGTCCGAATTTGACGAGTGATTAAAAGATGGCTAATTCGTAACAATTCGTACGACCTCACTCGTACGAATTAGTACGATTTTTGCTAAATTGTACATATTTGACGAGTTGCCCAATTCGTATGAATTTGTACGAATGACATACCCCTGACCCCGCCCCTAAACCTACCCATCACGTGGGTTTAGACAAATCGTACAAATTCGTACGAATTGTTACGAATTAGCCATCTTTTAATCACTCGTCAAATTCGGACGAATTGGTCGTGAGATAGCGTTGGTTCATCAGCTGAAAAATAAATCCTCTGCAAGTGATTCCAACAATATTGTTCCTCTGTGCCGTTATCGTTATTGTGGAGTGTGGTTTCTGCTATTCTGTTAAATTTAGAATGATTTTTAGAACTATATCTGTATCGTTACAGTTATGATCCTTGGAGTGAACGGCCTTAAGTATAAGCAAAAGTAATAGTAATGCTTGGCTTGGATCGCTGGTGATTTACTGTTTTGTTTTGGTTTTTGCTTCCAGTTTCTCACTGTCTCACACTTTTTTTCCCTTATGACTAAAGTTTTTTCCTGCTCTGTTATGTGTCAGAAACAGTGCACATGGCGATTGGTCGGCTAGATTTCAAACAAGTCTGCATCTGAGGCCAAAGTCCCTTTCAAGGAAAGTCTGTTCACTTGTTGGCCATTTTTGCAATGCCTCCAGGCAGCTATTTCAGGCATCCAAGACCAAGTCACACAGTATCTATTTAAATGGGGGAGTCTTGAAATCTCAAAAAACTGCTTGACGAACTCACAATTAATAGATCAGCAACAAAATCTGTCATGAACTGTCCCATAATGTTGTTTCTTATGGTTAGACCAGCCAATGCACATGTGCAATGACTGCGATTGAGCGTTGCTCTTTCTCCCATTCATAAGTAATGTCAGTGAGTGCACCGTCTTTCTATATATAAAGTCTTTGTCTGAGACTACTCGAAGCGTGTAAGTGTCTTAAAGAGGGAAAAATGATTACACCTCAGTGTTGCCGTGTCAGATTATATTATATACTTTGAGCTTGTTTTTTCATAAAGTCATTTATAAACATTGGCAGCCCCGGCATTCCCTCCATTTCCATCCTCACCTTCTTCTTTTTATTTCTTTGATTCGCTCATTTCAGGCATTTTCTTTCAGGTTTTTCTTTTTTCAGACCAAGGCGCTTACTTTTTTTGTAAGATATGGCAACACTGGTGCACTTTTATAGGTTTGAGATTTTCCCCTTTTCTGTATGGTGACATGAGTGTCACAGAAATTACACACATTTAAAGGAATATTACAAGTTGAGTACAGGTTAAGCTCCTACAGCATTTGTGGCATAATTTTGATTACTACAAAAACAATGGGTCCAATTTTTGGAGGATTTAGGCAGAAACGTTAAAATGATAAAATTATACATTTTATAAAAGCACTTTTCTGTAAAAAAAAAAAAAAAAAAAATAGTATATATATATACATTGAGCTGTAAATCTGTCTAAATTATATTTTGGGGGGGTTTATATCAACAAAGTCGCTATTAAAATTGGATATACTTTACAGAAGGCTAGTAAACAATAACTAGAAAAGGTTGATAAGCAATTTTATAAATGTAAACTCTGTGTTTAACTCTGTGGTGTGTGTTTAGTTTTGTGCCTCCTTGTCACAAAGGTCTGATGGTTAGGGATCTGTGATTCTGTGTCCAACCAATGTGTCAGGTGTCCTGTTCTCAGAGGGTCTCCTTCAATGATCTGTGTCCTGAACAGCAACTGATGAAGTCTGTTTTCAGCTATGCCTGCATATCCACGTTTAATCACCAATTAGCAGCTACTCTGCATCACATTAAGAGACTTGCTGAAGCATGCAGTTACAGCTGGCTCCTGATTCTCTGAAAAAATGTATTATTTCATCATTATGAGCCAATACAGAGAGATAATAGACAAGAGATTAGATGTAGTTAGTTGAGTTAGCTGTGTTGGCCAGTTATGAAGCTTCATTTTCAATTTCAAAATGAGTTGAATTTTCTTTTGCAGAACCAGAAAATCAAAAGCTGTCTCAAAGAACGTTGAAGCCTGGACAGCAAAGACTTCTTATGGGCGAATTAAGACATTTACTTTAAAACTTGTCTTAATCTGTACAGTGTAAAGAACTTTCATATCCTCTGAACATATTTATTATGCGTGTAATCATCACCGAGGCCTTGATATTGCATTGAAGTGCAGTCAGTTGCCATTTATGGACCACATTTCCATGTTTTTGACACTTTGGTGTTTGCTTGAGGCTGATTTATGTAACTGAGAACCCCTCTATCTCAGAATACGTGCATGACATCCTCTCACAGGCTCTTTAAATCTGTGGTTAAGAGGGAATGCAGCAAGGTCTGTGTTGTGAAGTGCAACAGATATCCATATTGAATGACTCAATTTTTGTCGGATGATAAGACATAATGCTTTGAAAAACGAGCCTTTAACAACATTGTATTGAAATGCTACACATTTCTGTAAGAGGATAGCAATCTATTTTTAAAAAGAGTTATATTCTGTTCTGTTTACTAGACAACATGACATGGCATAATCACAATCCCACAACAGTGTGCTTCAAAAAGGAGGCAGCTATGTTTTAAGATATCTTGTTTGGCCAAAGGTAACATCTCATGTATTCTTGTATGGGGAAAGAAAAATCTCAGTGGAAAAAGATAACAAATGACGTAAAAGCAATGTACATACTTTTAATTCGAATTAAAAATTAAACTGATTTTAGCAATATGTTTCAATACGGACTAGTCCGTATTGAAACATATTGCTAAAATCAGTTTAATTTTATCTAATTAAAATGTACCCTTTTTTGTGTGTAGTGTATTTTATGCTTTGTGCATCATGCCATTACCTTGCAGCACGTTACATTTCATTGCCAAAGGTGAAAGAAATGCAATTTAAAATTATAAATAGGATTTATCCAACTAAAGATTTATTAAAACAGAGATTTAAAATGGATGTAGGAAACTGTAACTTCTGTGAAATTGAACCCGAAGATTTGAATCATCTGTTCTGTTTGTGTGGAGTTGTAAAAATGGTTTTGGCTGGACCTTCAACAATTGTTCGTCTCCAAAGGATTTCAGATGATGAATCTAACTAATGATATAAAATTTGGTATTTTTCGTAATGATCACAATGATTTTGGCATTAACAGTGTAATTTTGTGAAGTAAACATTTCATTCATAAATGTCGTTTTTACAAGACAATTCCTAACATTACTCATTGGAGAAATGAGTTGAAACTTTTTTATAACTCTTTGGTATTGATTAAGAACAAGAATGCTAATGGCTTCTTTTGTAAACAATCTTATTGAATGATTGCCCTTTTAATTTATTTTCTTTTGAATATGTGAATGCCATTTTTGCCATAACATGCTCCATGTTCTTCTGTTCTTTTAAGTTTTTTTCCTTTTCTTTTTCTAGGATGAGCACTGTAAGCTTGTAGTACGATTTGACATTGTTCCTGATTTGTTTATATTTGCTTTGTTATTTAATAAAAAAAAACTTTAAAAAAAAAACGTTACATTTCATTTGTAACTAAGCTTCTCATTAGATTTTGGAACAGAACCATTCATTCTTTAGTTCATTTGAGTAATGGTGCCTTTCTGCTCAAATTTGTACATTTGTTTGTTTTACTTGTTTTCCAGAAAATGTAGACAGACAGATAGATAGAGATTTTATAGAAAATAGATTTTAAATGTATTTTTATCCCATTGGCAAACAGCTTTTTTCTCTCGTTTTAGGCCTAAATCTAACTAAATAATAATAAATAAATAAAAAGTCCTTATGCAATTTTTGCTTGTCATGTAAACATACCTTGTTTTAAGGATGCTTGGATATCTTTACTGCATAAGACATTTTTTAGCAGTGTATGTACAGTATAACAAAACCAATGTAAAGAGTAAAAGCAATGAAACTGGTGTGATTTATTGCATACGCTAACACAAAGGAGCTTAGCATATCATCAATCCAGTCTGTGAGACTTTGGCCATTGGCCTCTAGAGGTTTCGATTGTTTAATCAGCTATTTTTTTCTTTATCTATCCACCAGGACCTGCCTGCAAGTCAGCATCCCCTAAACTGGAGCGTGAGGAGCCCAAGTCTGAGAAACTGCTGGATAAGGCCAGTGAGAGCGGAGCCTCGTTGAACGAGCTCTCCACATCCAGCTCTGAGACCCACTCAGAGGCCACGTCTCCCCAGGACGGGGGCCCCATCCTGGTGTCACGTGGTGAGGTCGTGGGGGGCTCCCTGGCCCCATGTGGCGCCCTGCACTCTGTATCTCGGCCTCCAAGCACTCTTACTCTCGGCCGACCGCCCAAGAAAGGTTCCTCCGTGCAGTGGATGGAGCTGCCGGATAAGAGGAGAAACAGTGAGCTGTTTCAGTCCCTCACCAGTGGAGTGGGTTCACGGGAAGGTGGGGGAAGCGGTTTAACCCGGAGAAAGACTCTGGAGAGGCCCAATGCAGAGGAGGAAATGAAAGAGTGTATCCGAGATTTCCGAAAGATCAAGATCCCCCCGGCGTTCCCAGAGCGCAAACGGCAGTGGCAGTCAGAACTTCTTCAGAAATACGGCCTATAAGGGAAACTCAGGATAGGGAACTGTTTTAAACTATCCAATATTCTCAATCGCACACAGTAGATTGTCCATCAGACTTTGAGGTCCTTAAGAAAACTTGAGCCAACAAAACATGTTCCACTTTGTTCCATTTTCGTTCAGATTGACAGCACCGTTGATGTCTTTGAACTAGACCTTATAAACTTTCCAAAAAGTGGTGATGGAGAACTTTTTGACAAAGAGCCATTCCATCTACAGTCATTTAAATAAACCTTTCCATTATCCAGAAGGTCTGCAAACAGGGCTCATAGGATATCTCTTTAAACTACTGAACTGACCGACTATCTTTGGTGATCTAGCCAAAGTGGAAGTACAAATAAATCCTTGTGGTGTCCAAAAGAGTGAAGCGTCACTGTGCATTAACTAGTTGTTCAGTTTGGTTAAAAGCAATGCAGATTTAATGTAAATGCAGTTGTCTCTACCTACCTTTGTTTCAGAGGTGAATTTAGATGTAGATGATTAGGGCTATCAAACAATTAAAAATTGTAATCAAATGATCATATGCTAATTAATTAATCAAATTGCAGTTACATACTATATCAGTTTTTGCTAAGAAAAGCCCCCAAGTGTAGGCCGTTCACATAGGACACTTGTGTTCCGTATTCACCATTTCTTATTGTTTGGTTTATGTACACTTGATGTCTTTGGGCTTTGCATTATGTCTTTATCTGTCATATCTTTTTTCCAGCATATCACAAAACCGTTTTATGTGTATTTCATTCGCTTCCATTCAGTTGCTCCATCTTGAAGGTAAAAAAAACACGTCCTTTGTGAGCGGCTCTTTACTCATTCTGTGCTGCTTTTTCTTTGGTAAGTGTGGTGATTACTAAATGATTGTTAAATTGACAGACATATATTTAAATATATTAAAAATATAACCTTATATTTGCTAAAAATCATGAAGCTAGAATTGAAAGGTACGATGAATACAGTACACAATCTAAAATCCTAACTGAAATATAAGAGTCAAATGAGTAACAGATACTATATAATAGATGCATTTTCTTCTCATTCCATCCCTTTAAATGAACTAATTGTTGCATTTGTATGATGGGCCACAATAAACATCATCTCTGCACTGGTTCTTCTGTATGTGAGGTTTCTCAGAATGATGCATAGAAATTGTCTGGGCCACGTTTTGTTATGTGCCATTCATTTTCTAAAGTGTTTTTATGTGTGTGTGCTTATGTCTTTTCTTTCATGTACATTTTTTAGAGCAATTTGTGAAGGACATTTTGATTTGGAAACAAAAAAAGAAGGAAAACCAAGGAAGTGTGTTGCTACAAATTATTCATAAAAACCTATTGTTGGTCCCAGGGCCAAGGGAGATGAAGAGGAACACCAGGGCCCTTAATTTATACAGTGCAGATTGACCTCCAAAGATGATCCGGCCCTCGTTGTTCCCCTTACAGTTTGCAAAACATTAATGTGAAATTAAGAATTGATCTTCGTGACACAAATGAATTCTAGTTTATGTTTGAGCCAAGCAAGATTTATTTTAAAAATGGAAATAGCCATGGCGTTGCGCCAGCAGTTTAATCCACGTGCTGAAAACGGTTCCAAGATATTGTTTATGGCAGTGCGTCATCCCAGACTCTGGGAATGATCTTTCCATCTGCCGTAGGCTGTGTATCAAATGTCAGTGAGCATTGTGCATTTCCATCTCCATAAAGACTTGTATTTGAGAGATGTTTGATGATCGCCCTCCAATTGATGTGTACGGTGTTCTGCGTATGTTTAAAGCACAATATTCTGTAAATGCCGGTTTGAGACATGACATGGTCTCAATCCAGGACACAGGTTTGAAAAGCACAAGGCACAGTCGACTCTGTCATCTTAGAAATATAGTGTTTTAATGGGTTTAAATCAGGGCTTAGTGTTAGTCTGCTGTGAAAACTGAAATGCTCCAAAATTTGTAAAGACATTAGTTGTTATTTGTCGATTTGCCTCAGTGTCCTGTAATAAAAGTGTCATGTTATGAATGGGTGATTTAATGTGCATTTTTTTGCCTCATTTCATTTGAACAGATATTTTTTATTTTTCTTCTTCTTTCTTTTCAATCTCTTGGTAATTTACCTTTCAGCGCTTTTATTCTCTCTTTTTTTACTGAAGAAAATGTCAATACCAGCCTGTTCCAGGCATTTTAACATTTAAAATCTGTTCACTGAAAATATATATTTTTTTTCTTCAGACAACACAGCATGCCCTCGCTATTCATCCTGACAGAAGAGTGTTGCCATCTACTCTTACAAGTGATTTTGGGCTTGTTTTTCATCTAGACATAGCGTTTCATTTGCTTATTTTCAGAATAGTCACACATTTGGGCTTGCTGGTCCTTGATGGCTGTCAAACCTCCACACTCTACTTAATGTAAAGTTAGTTTCTCCTTTCGTCCCATGTTTCTGCCTCTTCCAGTGCCTCCTCACTCCAATGGTGCATAAATGCATGCTTTTTTCTTTCCTGGGAGATCTATTCATTGATCTAGAGAGCCATGCAGTTGTATATATTTTGTATATAACATTTTAATGCTATTTGTAAAAGGATGTCATTTTTGAAAATTCTTTGCAACAAGTTATAGTTTAGCTTTTTATCTGTATGTTTTTCTTGCAAGATCTGGCAACACTGTGTGGTAAGAAGGGCAAAAATGCATCTCTTTTATAAGTCGTCCTCTTCCAAAGTCAGATATTTTTGAAAACATTTATAAAACCAGGCAATATCAAGGGCAGCCAAAAGGTCTTCTTTCAATATTGCTCCTGCAACAAGGCTACACAAACTTTTTGTGAGTTTTGTAGTTTGTTTTTTTAAGTAATCATGCTAGCACATATTTTCTGTCACAACTGAATGCCAACATGGTTTAGATGCTTTCTTAATTCTTTCTTAAAATTAAATGCTATGTGTGTCTGTGTTTATGGGAAATATTGTATTTGACAGTTAACACATAATGTCTAAGGTGGTTTCATCAAAAAAAAAAAAAAAAAAAAAAAAAAAATTACCTCTAAACATGTTGCACAGATTAATCCAGACCGGTTTGGACCAGTTAGAAACCAGCTGCCATCTTTCAAAACACACCTACCACCTTAAGCTGGTTTTGGCAGGGATTCCTTAAAGACTTCATGGCACTTCACCTGTCTTAGATGGCTGGTAAGTCTTCAAGAGCATAATTATTTTGAGTCAGAAAGATGTTTTATTATTCATTTGAGTAGAGACTTCATTTACGTTGAGTTTTAACTTTGTCATCCGAGACTTTTCTCTTCAGCTTGGTGTAATCATTTCAGACATCTGAAGTGATGCTTGTAATAGAAGCGCTCATAGTTTAAGTCATGTAATCAGTCAGGCAGATCTCACATACTGTAGTTTATTCATACCTGTCAAAATGACATCTGTCTTGTATTTGAGGTACAATATGTAATCAGTGATTTATAGTGAGTCATCGTTTTTGTCCTTCCAAAGCTCTTTCCTTAAAGTGTTTTTGCAGTGGTTTATCACTAATTTTGTCGAAAACAAAAATGTTAATGGTAGTTCGGCTATTTAATGGTTATTTATGACACCAAAGACCCAAAATGTGTCTTTCTACATTGGCATCCATTCAAAAGTAGCAGCCTATTCTGACTCTGGAAATGAAATGGACATACTAATTCTCAGCTTTCAAAGAATTCAAACATTCTAAAGTTTGACTATAACGTAAATGTGTTAATGGAGAAACTAAATGGTATGCCAAATGGAAATTAAAAAGACAGTTTACAAAACTCTCATTGAGCCTTGCATTATAAAGTTAAGGTTAGAGAAACAGTTCATGGAAAGGCTGAGCGCTCCTGCTTCCATTAAATGCAGCTACTGAGAGAATAAATATGATGTTCTATGTGAATTAAAGCCGCCGTGACACACATCAGTAATATATCCCATTTCATGAATATCACCCGTATAGGAGCGCACACCCACACCATCTAAATGCAAACACTCAACATTTAAAATGCTGCCGTCCTCTCAGATCAAATATGCTGATATGTTCTCCAAGAACCCCTCGAGAAGGAACATTTTCCCAGCTAAGCAAGCCCTCTCTCGCTGTCTTCTTTAGTCACAAAAGCAAAGCACTTATTGATGTAAAATTGAAATATATTTTAATAGAAAGCGAAGAATTAGCATCATTGTGCTCTGATATCTCCATGGCAACTTCAGAATAAGTGGCTTCCCTCGCGCCTGTTTTAGAAAGCCGTTGTCCGAGCTTTCTCAGGGAGACGCATACGTTATGTTTCACATTAAAATGCTTGCATCAGCGTTGCCGCCTGTCATGCGTCTACGGTAGGGTATAGAGAGAAAATGACAACCGCAATTACGAGGCACTCAACAATCCATCACAGCACGGGCAAAATGTCCACATGAAAAATGTTACACTGTTCACTACCTGACTGTGCATGCGCCACTTGATGCTGTAATTTATAAAAACATAAGTGGCTTTCACTATGAGAATTACATAACCCTATAAAGTAGGGATGTGCAAAAGTACATATTTTCAAAACTGAGTTGTCGATCAATCGTTTTTAGGAAAGCCCGGAATAATGAGCTGATTTAATGAGCTGAATAAACAGCTTGCGACTTCCGGTGACATGAGCAAACATGCTGTAGTGTGTTCTGACAAAGTTGAGAAAAGTTTAACTTCATGCAGAGCGAATTGATGTGAGGACTACCAATGGTAGTAATGACAGTGGAGCTCACGTGATCCATTTCCTTTCAGATAGTTGAGTGTTCACACGATGAATTTAAATCTAGTACTGAGCAAATTCCAGAGTATGTCACTTATTAATAAAAAAATAAAAAATGTGTGGCCCTTGTCAGAACTGGGCTTGGTAAAACTTCCTTCAAATATGCCGCCATCTCAGATTGGAATCTTCTCCAGACGGAGATGACTTACTACAAAACTTGCTGTGCGTCCGAAATCATGTAGGCTACTGCCTGAGTAGGTACTACATTTGAATTTGAACTTACTTTGCGACCGTTAAAAAAAGTTATATGAATGTGTGTAGTATGAATGTAATCCGGACATACTACATCAGCCATGTTGTCTTCATCATGTAACCTACCAGCATCAGTTGTGTCGCTTCACGTCCATTCATAAATCCTCTCCCGTGGCCTCAGTAAAGTGTCCATCGATGGTGCACTTCAGAATCTCACCGGAAGTAGTAGTAGCTATGTCATCCAGCTAGGTCATACATTATGCACTTACTCTATTTACCTATGCACTACTCATCCGTGCAGTGTGTGAATTTTATAAGGTTATTTTGTCATTGAACATCAGAGTCTGATGCCCCTCCACTACATTATTAAAGTTGCAACAGTGGAGTGCATTAAGTTTCCAATATTCCACACTTCGTTTTTTCCGTTTATTTAGTGCATCATGTGATCCGGGTATTTAAAGTGCACTTTTTCTTTTTGGAATTTTCAGTGAGAACAGACTACTCGCACTATTTATCCTTAAAAACGTCATAGAATAGTGCATAAAAACACGAATTGGGACACATTCGGACATATTGGCGTACTGCTTTTTGCATACTAGGGAAGTATTCGATTTCGGACGCAGTGTTGGTGTCTTAGTCATGTGAAAAATGTACTACGTAATCTAGAGAGTGATAGCCTGGTTAAAACCAGACCATTCTCAGTTGTAACTGAGTTATGGTCTGGCAAAGCGTCGTAGACAAATCATTTCCAGAGGGGCGTCACCAACGGACGTCGCGGATAGACCTAAACCCAATCAGAGCGATGAAGGAGATGACGTATGCAGAGCGGCGGAGAAACATCTCCGATTGTAGTTCATTGCTCGGTTTTTAACTAAAAGGAAACGTTTAAATCGCTTAAAACAGACGCGATAGCTGATTCGAACGAGTGATGTTCGACGGCGGCATCCATCTTTGTAATGTAGGCTACAAAATTTGCTTCAAAATCCCAGCGCTGTCGTCATCGTGTAAAGCCCGCCCCAACGTTTCTGATTGGTGCCGCGATTTCGACGGATTGGAAATGGGCTTGAATGAGATCTTTGCCAGACTAACTTTCAGAGCAAATCTAAATTTGCCGGAAGTTGTCTGGGTTTTCCCAGGCTAAGAGAGTGAACCAATGGTGTGTAAATGTTTTTAACTGGTTGTATGTTTTATGTTGGATTTAGTATTGTATGTTGCATCTTTGTTGTAATTAATTAAATAATTCGTTTTTTATATTAAAAGTAACATCTCTGAGATCATGTTGCATATTATATTATAATAAAAATATATTTAATAATAATTTGTCAAATATTTGTATATTTTATAAATACATGTGGAACACAATGTGTCTGAGATCATGTGTTGATTCATTCTGTGTATAAACCCAGCATTTGCACTCTCACCACAGACAAACGACATGCTTTGATTAATTTGTGATATGATGCATTATGGTGCAATTTTTGATATGGTGCCATTCATAAACCCTTTTCCCTCTGGAATGTTCATTTTTAGCATCTTTAGGCTGATTTGATGTCAATGACATGGAAATATATTTTAGCTGGAGTGACGTTATGCAATGACAGTAGCAACCAGAGCTGGGAACACCTACTAGAAAGTGAGCAGTGGTGTGAACATGGTGACCGTCTTTTACAGAAGATCCTTTCTTGTGTTTAAAAACAGAGCACAACTGGTCTTAACAAAATACAAGACCCTTGAAACACCATTAGAAAAACGTCTAGGCTGCCTTACAGCTACAACTATCCATGAATACTTTTCAGGAACTCAGACCCTATTCTCTCATTTTCATGAATATTTTATCCATTTTGTCAAGGATCATTCATAACCACCTTGAGCACCTGCCACGTTTGAACAATGTACAGAAACATTATGAAGACAAGTGTTTGTGTGTGTGTCCCTGAGAGAAATGATTGTTCTGCACCATGTTTTTTAATTGCGGTATTTATTATGCTCAAGGACAGAGATGTCACTCTTCTGCTGTTTAACATGGAGTT